TGAATATGAGATGGAACAATAGGGGATATTTTTATCATGATATATAATGCTTTCCCGAAAATTCGACGTGCAAGTGCAAGGTAAAAATTGCTTTTTTAGAACTCAAGAACAATGATGTATTTGTAACTGATTTTAAGATTGAAATGAATTGAATTAACATGTTGTATGAGCTGTGAGATCTGTATATAATATTTAAAAAAACCGTAGAAGTATAACTGTTTAAAAAATTATATTAAAAAATGATGGAACTGTACTCTTTTCTCCAAGCTTTGCAAAAAAACAGTGAATTTTAGAAACAATTGATTAAATTATCATGGATTTGCCTTGCCATTACGTCACGCCAAGTCTAATTATTCGGAATTTTAATATCGATTCCTATTTAAAGTAGGTATGTTTGTCATTCTGCTCGAAAATATTGAGTTGTAATTAAACAATTTTTAAGAACTTCACAAAAAAAGCGTTAATTCTCAATGCCACTTAACATAAGATTTTTTCAATTTCGGCTAACATTATCTCATGTCGGATTTGCTGATATCGATTAAATTTTACTAGTAGTACTTTTCGGGAGTTTCGTTCTTAATATTGTTTGATTATATTATCACAGCATATCGTTACAACATTGTTTGCAATATGCAAAAAGAGATAGTATTTAAACAAATTTATCGTCAAAGCTTACGTTATATTCTAGCTTACATAATTTACACAATTATTTCACGAAACAATAAAATTAATTTATTTATAAAACTCCTTATCGCAACTTTGAATTAATTATTCAGCAATTAGCTATTTTAAATTAAAGACTGATTCACTTTGAAAAATTGATAATTACGTTCTTTGACAGATTTTACGTAATCAAATGTACGATTTTCAAAACAAATTGCGAACGTAAATGAAATATTGTCTTTGAAAGTTGTGGCAGCAAACGGCAGGATTTCTTGATATCAATGTCGACACGAGAATCGATCGAGTTCACCACCGCTTTCAGTTTACCGAGGCCACACAATCGGCGTAAACTCGGTGATCACGCGCGGAGGATTTATACGCGGCGAATACTTCGCATCAGAGAGGGGCGGAAGACTTTGTACGTAACGTCTGCATCAGGTCGAATGATTTGCTATTCGCGCAGCTCCCGGCCGCCGCGCCGCCGGCCGACGAGGGAAACTTAGATTGCTTCGCCGACTAATTCCTATCCGAGCGCCCGCGCTAATTCGACGTCGAAACTCGCGGCGCGTCATACCTGAAGCGGCTCGATAAATTACTCACCGTCCAATTACCGGCGACGTGCCCTGCAGCCCCGCTTCGTCATTCACGGTGACTACGAGCTCGAGCGAGCACGATTCTTGTTATCTGTTTTGCCGCCGCGCCCCCGTAACCGCGATCAACCCTTTCGGCCCTACGCGCGAGGTGGTCCGGGGTATCATCCTTACTTTAAACATCATATTTGGAATATTTGGAGTATTTTTTTCTTTTTTAATTAATATATATATAGATGCGCGTACTTTGTCGGATATCGGTCTTTGACGAAGACGACGCCGCTCGAGGAAAAGCTCCGACGTCCTGGCATTTGATCGCGTGCAGACGGGGATCCCGGGATCTCGCGTCAGAGCGCGTATACGCGCGCCGCCACGAGTGTGTGTGCGTGGCGATGACAGGGTGGCGTGACGGAGTGCTAATAATACGTATAATGGGTCGGCGACGTGGTGTGTGCGCGCGAATTCGTGCCGATAAACGCGCGCGTCCACACCGGCTGCAATCTCAGCATGTACACACGTGTCATCCTGAGCAACGAGGCACGAGTGCACGCACGTGTCCATGCATTCGGAGACGTTAAATCCGAACGCGACAGGCTTGGACTGGAAACAAGCTCTCGGATAACCGAGGTATATCCTAAAACGTGATCTGAAATTAATTCTTTCCGTATTGAACGTTGTTACAGCGCTAGTGAGGTTCTAGAAAACGACTCGTTAAATTCTCAAGTAAACATAATGCATTCGAAATTGAACGTGAGACAATTAAGGTAAAGTTTTGAAAACTGTCCACCTCTGATTTCGATAAGATTTTATAAAAAGCTTCGTTTTGAGTTAAAATGAAAGCCCTTAAAGCGAATTTTGGCGACTTCTACAAGAAAACCATTTTTTAAGATAAAATAGTAAAAAGAATAGTAAGTGTGGTAATTATTTAGTTTAGGGGAGCAACCTCCTGGTACCTTAACCTTGACATATATTATAGAGAGCACTCTCTTCAGAGTAACCTTCTAAAGGTTTTAGAGCTGTCGTTCGTTATTTATTAAAAAGTTTTTAACAAAAAAGTTTAAGAAGTGTAACAATTTGTATCAGTGCGAAGGGAAGTAATTTGTTGATATGTGTGTATAGACAGTACACGCATGTACGCCGGGAGAAGAGCTACCACCCCTGCGGCAAGGGTGGGTGGGGGTGGACCTCGATTCGCGTTGGAAAGTTGAAAACCCGAATTGTACAATGATGGACCTTGCTTCGCGTGAAAAGTTGGAAACCCATGTGAAACATGTTTTCAATGCTTTTTGAATCAACATGAAAACTCCTCTAAAGCATGATTATTAACTTGAACAAAAAGATTATGTGTTTAAAGTAAAGTGGGGAGAAGCGTTTATAATATATATAATGGTAATTTATAACAATTTATAACATCCTATAGAATTGTTAAAATCTTCTCATACTTTTGATCATTTTACCTTGAAAAATTGTTTTGTTGTAGGAGTCGCCAAAATTCCCTTTAAAAACTTTCTTAAATCGAAATAAAGTTTTTTACAAAGTTTCATCGAAATCGGAGATAGACCGTTTTCGAACTTTATCCGATAATTATATTTCTCACACGTTTCTATATGGAAGCTAATTTATAAAAGAGAAGGTTACTTAGTAACTTGAGAAGAGAAATACATTAGTTTTAAATGCAATCTCCATATTTCAAATATGCACCCTCTTAGAACGCTGTATCACCTGCACAATATTAAAACGTTCAAATCGTCTTGCAAATCGCGAACTAACTCCAAACGACGCGACACGACGGATGGATGGTTTCGAGAAACCCGCGATCCATCGATCAATGCTGAACCTCGGATGGTCGGTGGCACGTCTTCTGCGTCCTCCAGAAAGACAGCTGGCGCGATTGTGGGTCGACGAGCATTCCTTGTCAGCGCCCGAGTTTGGAAATCGGTCACAGGTCGGTACTCTCGCGTACACGACGATCCGCTCAAAATCGAGACGGACGGTCCCTGCTCAAGATGTGAGAGAACGACGAGAAATGTCGTTGCCCGCCCAAAGTTCTTTTGCCACTTGAGTTTTTCTTCTCATATTTCAACACTCTATAACATATAACATATAAAATGTATAATTAGGAGAAATGTCCGTTATACCTAAGTAATCTCCACAATATAGGTAAAGTTCTTAAGTTAATATAATACTTCTACATACGAAAGCACTAATTTATAAAAATAAATGTTTACTTTCAGTCCCTTATGACTTGAGAAGAAGCACATTTTAAACACATTATTATTGAGCGTGACCAGACAAACTCTATATTTTTAATATAAACCCTTTTCAGAGCAATCCGATTCGACGTTGTATCGCCTTACAGAAATCCCTGCAGTGTACTGCGTTGATTTATAAGGGAACACAGTCGTACTTTTCACGCGCGCTACTTTTACATATAAATTACATCAGTATTGTCTAACGCGACTACGCCGATTTGCGCGTGCAGTTTTTCCAACTTTTATGATCGTGCAGAGATTTCGGTGCACAGCGGTGATCGATGTCGCGCGTCGCTGAAAGCGAGCGGAGCGGCAAAGGAGTAGCGGCGCAGGATTCAAAGTGCCCGAGGTGAGGTGAGGGCTGCACACTCCCCTCCCCCTCCCGGCGTCGAGCGTCGGGATGTGGTGCGAGGGTACGGGAGGCCAAGCTATTTCTCAGCTTCAGCGGCAGAGCCTTTCTTCGCGGGAATATATCGACACGTCAGGAGCACACTGGCCCGTTTACAATATCGCGTATAGGAACGTGCGCGCGCCTACATTTCGGCCCCGTCTCGCACCTCGTCGCGCGAGAAACATCGCTCCGAAATGATTCCGCATCGATCGCGGTCCTGGATCGGCCTCGAAAATTATCAAAGAGCTCCTGGGAATCTTTTTCATGTTTTATAATAAGACGAACACTGATGTAATATGACAGTGTGATCTCGAATGATGTTATTAGTAGTCAAAAAAACGCAAAATACTGAAATATATGTAATATATTGTTCATTATTATTCGACAGAAGTATTATTTACGCAAATATTAATATTTATTATTAAAAAATAGAGATAAGCGTTTGAAATTGCATCTGTTTGTATAGGATTAACTTTCAAATACGTAAAAATATTCATTATTATTCGATAGAAGTATTATTACACAAATATTAATATTCATTATAAGAAAAACAAAGAGTTTTAAATTGCGTTTGCTTATAGGATTGACTTTCAAATATGTAAAGATAAACGCTGTATTAAAAAAAAAGCTCTATTTGACCACAAGCAAAGATTTTGAGGAAAAACGGGAAACGCAATAAAGAAGAACCTAGGAATTCTCGCCTTATGAAATCGTTCTTTTAAATATAAGTTTCCAGAAGTTTCTTATAGCCTCTCTCCGGTATGTTATCGAAACCTGCTGGATCGTTTCAATCGCGTAATCCGCGGAATCCACATCGCGTGGGGCCGTGCCGGGTTCGCGGCACATAGGCGTGTAAACGACCTGAAATAACTCCGCCAGGTGCCTCGCGAATTGTTTCCATCAGCGTTATACACCTCGGAAATCATCGCGCCGATGCCGGATATCACGATCATCCAGTGTTTGGCGGAAGAAGCGTCGCGGGTTAAGGCCGGCTGGAGGTTGCGTGATGGATTTCACCTCCTCCACCACCGGCTGGCGGCTGCCTGGCTGCCCGGCGTCGTCCTTTCGGTTCTCCAGCGAGACTCTCAGTTGGCCGCTGACTGCCGTCCGTGCGTCGCGCACGTTCGCGCCGCTCTGTCGCAGCTTCGGGATTCGGCTCGGCTCTTTGTCGTTGCGTCCCGTCGCCTGGGTGTCAACCCCTCGAGATCTTCGTTCGCGATTTAAGCGTCCTCGAAAGGCTTTACTTCTGATTTTGTGTTAGAATTCTTTTTTTTCTCCCCTATCTTTGCGCGTTCCGAAGATCAACTTCGTTTTCGTACGTTTTGAAATTTCCCCTCTGTCTCTCGATATTTCGATATTTTCTTCTCGTTCTTAGAATTGTATTTTTCTTGTATTTAATTCGCGGGATTTAACACGCGGGGCGCGCGTGCGCGCGCACTTATCTCTCGACCGGCACCGAAAATCGGAGCGCGGAGAAGAACGCATTTCCGCATGATGAAGCGTATCGTCGACGCTCGCTCGCGAGAGCACCTACGGCGCTCGTGAAAGCCCGCGATCGCGAAACTGTGACGACTGATCGACAGCCCGCCGCCTTCCCTGGATTTTTTTTTGCGGTTTTAATCTGGCACGCTGCGTGAACATCGATCAGGCAGGAGGTGAGAATCCGCTATAGTTATATGTGTCATTCGAACCCATTCGGGCAATTTTTTCTAGCGCTTGCGATAATCGCTGCAGCGAGAATCTTCACAGAGGAAAGAGTACTCGATGTGTGACATCTTCGCAGATTTAAAGGCAATATTTTTTAAATTCATGGTATATAAAAAATTTTTTAATTTATTTACTTCTGTACGTTTTTACAAGAAGAAATTTATCTTGATTGTCACATCCCGATAATCGAAAATTATTTATTTTCTATAAAAGAGAGATATAACGTAATTTTATTAGATAAAAGAGAAAGTTGTACCCGTGATGTTATAGTATTATGTTTATAAAATAAGTTGCTCTCGCACATGCTTCCTTTAGATTTCACACATACATGAGACGATATTGAAAATGGCTGGCATGCGACAGTATGTGCACTGTGGACATTAATTCGCGCGACGGTATTTTTATGACACGAGAAATGATTGCTTGATTATACGGAGCGTCTGAAGAACCGCGTGTATAACTCCACGAAACGCGAACTTGAATATTAAAATAAATACAAAAAAAAGAGACACATAATCGCACGTGGCCGTATATGTCTGTAAAGTTCGCGTTACAAAGCTATGGGCCTCCCGTAATGCCGGGAACATTGGTAACTAGGAAATCGCGTGCCGCACAAAGCTGCTGTCATTTTAGTCGACGCTGCAACATTACGATTATATACCGCAATTTTTACCAAAAGAACTGCACGTGCATGACTCCTGTATCGATTCCGTTATTAATGAGAAATGTCATGTTTTGACCTTTTCTGCTGTATTCAACCATTCGATATGTGTGACTGTAGCGCGAGGTATGGCATCGTTTTTCATACACACACACACACAGTAGAAAATCACGGATTTTGTTAATCCTTTCTGAACATGTTATACCTGAGTATTTGTTATTCCATGTCTGGAAATAGAATATACATCGAATTTTATAACAAGTATACAAATATATAATTTCGAGCGTCTAAAAATCTCTGAATTACTTACGATACGCACGAAGAAAAAAAGGATTAGGTACTATAGCAAATTTAGTTGCAAGTATAGCAAAAATAGGAACCCTTAACATTTTTTGCAGCGAGAGCTAAAAGTTTCGCTACTATTGCTAAATTATAGCTCTGGCTGCAAAAAATATAGCTCTTGCAGCAAAAATATTAGGTACCCCTAAAGCTATAGTAGCTAATCTTTTTTTTGTGTATATAATGTAAGAAAATGTAATTAAATTAAATAGTTATTGTTGGGAAGAGATTTAACAAAAAGATTTTTAAACTAAAGAATGTTTTCTGAGAGTATCATTATTATTTAACGTTAAAAATTTTCGTTTTATCGACGAAATTGGACGAACCGTAAGAAGTAATCGCTCGTAATACCCGCCAGGCATCATGAATATATATATATATATATATATATATATATATATATCACCGGGAGAACTTATCGTGCCAAACACCAGAGAATCAAGCCATCGAAGCGCAAAGAGTACGTATGTAATGCCGTAGACGAGAGAGGTGGATGAATCGCCGCGGGGCAAAGACTACCGGAGGGAACTTCGAGTTTTCTTCGAGCACGGGAGCACGGAGATAAGGACCGACGCAGCGCGACGAAAACCCCTGTCAGGTGCACCCTTTCGCACGGTGTTTGCCAATAATCGGTTCCCCGGCGGCGTATAGCGCACGTCACGATTAACCGTGGCGGAAGCGCGCTACGAATTCGTACCCGCCGCGTGCTTCCGCAATGTTCGCGCGAACCGCGCTTGTCGATCTTTACGCTCCGCTCTCATCCCCCGCGCGCGTGCATCCCTCGGCCCCGTTCCCTCGATGTATACGCCGTCACTTACAGCGTATAAATCGCGTAACCCTTGTTTCGTCCGAGCAACTTATAAACCTCCGATAATTAAACGTTAAACTATTGCGCATCGATTCGATAGAAAATTTCAAATATCGTCGAGATAAATACGTATTTTACCAAAGGAATGACACCAATATCATATTATAGTAATAATTATGATATATCAATTATAAGCTGCAACAGTATCTTGCAACGACAATTTTGCTTAATAACGTAGTCATGGTCGAATTAAATTTTTGTTTTATATTTATTATAATATAACTCAAAGATCAAATTAAAGAAGTCTATAAAGAACTTTGTAATTAGTCTAATTATAAAAAGCTATATATGCCATGCTTAACAGAGAGAGATATTTTCGCCAAATCAAGCTAAAATTGAAATCTATTCGTGTACTTTTAAATTTCATTCAATATCTGCCGTGGTTAACAGAGATATTTTTGTCAAATCAAGCTGAAATTGAAATCTACTCGGGTACTTCTAAATCTCATTCTGATAAATCATTAATTAGAAAGGAAAGAATCGTCGCCCACAGCGCGGCAAGACGCGGCAGGTCGAGCTCGTTAAACTGGAGCGCCGTTCACGAAGCGCGCTGCTGATGTGCAAGTACCCTGTATTCCAGGCTCGCGGTACGTACACGCGTGCGGCAAGGAAACGCGTACGCGCGCGTGCACGTACGCTCGTCGGTGCGGCGTGTTATACCGAAGTATTATATCGATTAACTGTTGGCAACAGAAGAGAGGCGGAGGAAAGCTTGTCAGGGGCTGCGGCGTGGCTTTGGCTTTCCTATATTATTAATCTTTCTCTTTCTGCCTCCCTTCCACTTCCTCGCGCTCCCGTTCTCTCTCTCTCTCTCTCTCTCTCTCTCTCTCTCTCTCTCTCTCGCCCTCTGTCTCTCGCTCACCCACGGTTCACCCTGGTGGTTGCTTTCCGCTTTTGCCCGTCGTCTCGCCCCTCACCCACCTCACCCCCAGCGAGCTCTGTCTGCCGCTGCTGCTCCGCTCGACCTGCCATATACGCGTCCGTCGAGTCAGTCAGGTGTTGCGGGCAGCTTCCGCGCTTCAAAGAGAATCAAGAGTTACGGCCGGAGAGAGACTCGACCTCCGCTCGCTCTTTTGGTCTCTCTCGCCGGGTACCTTCCGGTCTCTCCCTGGTATCTCCGGTTGCGTTGTGTTGCGCTGCGTTACGTTACGTTAGCTCGCATCACCGCGCGGTACCGTCCGTGAGATGCCTTTTCTTTTTAGCATGTAATTAGCGCGCGTTAACCGTGGCACATATAAGTTCCGCGGACTGATGCGAACGTTGCATCGAGGAGCTTTAAACCGCGAATAACAGTAAAATTTGTTACGTGTCCTAAGGCATTACACTGAAAAACTGTATAGAAGAGTTACACGCATTTAATTACATTTTACGGCGGTATAATTATCAAAAAGAAAATTATCAAAGAAAGCGGAGAGTCTAATTAAGAATTAAAGCAAGAGGAGTTATTGAGATGTTTTCATAATAGAATTAAATAGAAAGTAAGAAGAATGTTGTTATTAAAAATAAAAATAAAAATAAAATTGAGATTATCAATTATTTGGAAGATGTAGATTAAGTGAGGCGTCATTTTTTAAAATATTGATTTTGAGAGACAATTCTTCCCACAATATCACTATAATACACTTCTCTTGTATTTTTTTGTTTCTAAATTGCTATAGCAATTATACGGTTTAAATTGAAAATTGTAGCTACAGAAAATTTTATTGGCGACAATCCGCAGATGATCGAATAGCACGTGTAGTCGAGGTCGGTTGCAGGATGCGCAATGGCGAAATAGATTCATACCTCAGTGGGCTATAGAAGTGCGCGAGCAATTGTATCGGTGTATACTGTTGCTACCCTATTCGCGCACCTAAACGTTCAACAGCCCCCGTATAGTTAACCACGTGTCTGACAATTTTCGCTGACACTGACGAACCGGCCGTACCATCGGCACACCTGCGAACGCCGTCCGTTATTTCTGTGGATATATATTAAGTGTCGATCGATCGATTGTGTTGCGTCAGTTACCTGGATGGACACTTAGAACACGAGAACCACCGATAAAAATTTGAATATTGCATAAAATATATTCTATAATTATACATTTTAGGGAAAACCACAGTTAGATCCCATTGTTTCTGTGAATCCTTAAATTCTCTTACTTTAAAATAAGATTCGAAACATGATTTTTTGAATTACATATATACATCCAGAGTAATTTAGAAATATAATTAATATACGAAACAAGTCTCGCAGAATGTAAAAAAATCGATATTAAGAATAGTTCGTTCTTTCTGAATTACAAATTTCTTTGATTAAAAATACATTAGAAGTTAATAATAAAATTTGCGTTATTATATGCACACACACGAAGCCGCGAAATTGTATTTATGATAATTCTCTGGCATGGCTGTGACGGCTACGAAACCGAAATTGTCAAAATTTGGGCTTAATTATCAGCGAGAAATGACGTGCAATTACATGCGCCCCGCAATTTGTTGACTGTTATTGCTAATATTGGATGACATGGTTCAACCAACTATAATATTATTCTGCCCCGAAAGAAAAATACTCGCGTGTCTTTTCTATTTTTTGGTGATAGTACGTTAACTAAAATCCAACATTTTCTTCGTTCAAGTGTTCCGAGGGTTGTTCGAGATTTATATCTGATTGCGAACTTGTGTACATCCCGCGCGACTTTTGTATTCGGCTAACACTGCATGTAATCCCCCGCACCGACATCAGTCATGGATCCGCCTTATCCGCGTGACAGACTATTTAAAAGATAAAACTGTGTAGAGAGGGTGACGAATGTTGATGGACCAGCGTGGTGATTAATTATCCGCGCACGCGATGACGACGCCCTCGATTATCCTCTCGTTAGTCCCGTGGAAAAAGTTCGTTCATTTAACGCGTTTGTGCCCCGCTAACCCGATACACCCGGGTAAATGGGACAAATCGCTTCGTTAATTGAAAGCGCTGATTTCTCTCTCTCTCTCTCTCTCTCTCTCTCTCTCTCTCTCTCTCTCTCTCTCTCGCTCGCCGGGATTAGGTTGGTGCAGCGCGGGAAAAGTTACCGATATTTTCGATCACGGGAA